ACAGCACAGAGGATCTGCATTGTACCCTCAAGGGTTGCAATTCATGTTTTCTTGAATTTACACCATTTTTTGGGAGCACTTTGATGGCTTGTGGGTACTGAGGGAGGGTCTGGGCTCTGCCAGCAGCAGCTCTGAGCGTACATGGCTTTTCTCCAGGAAGGGAAGGAGCAGAGCAGGGACTGATGAGCTGCTTTCCTTCCCTCATCCCATGGAAGGCTGCATTCACAGCAACAGGGTCATGGCATAATGCAGGTTGATTCAGCCTGGGAGGGGCTCGGGCCGAGCACGGACTTGTGTGGAAGGATCTGGGTCAAAAAGGAATGCCTTGCACTGCTCTGCTCAGCAAACCCACTACAAACAAGCCCTGCTAAAGCAGAAAAGTTTGGCACCTCATCCAAGTTCCATTTCCACACAAACCCTCCACTCTCTGCTCTCCAGTCTCTCTGCTGCACACCAAAGGTGCTCGGGCTCTCAGTGGCATCCCCAGCACAGCCCTCCTGCCTCAGGAAATCCACTGAGATCCCTGTCCCTGGGGCAGCCTGGGCCTCTCCGGGGCTGGGACAAAGCCTTGGGCTGGTGGGACAAAGCTCTTGGGGTTTTGGGCAAGATGGGAGGAAAGCACTGAGCTGGGGAGAGCAAACAAGCTCCCAGCCACACACCACAAATGGAGAAACTCCCCCATGGCAGCGCTGCCGAGGGCTTCAGGGCAGAGTTGTGCTGAAAGAACACAAAATTTCTCCCAGCAGCTCCTCCTTGCAAGTCTGGCAATAAATACAGAATGAAACTGCACCCTGGGAGTTGTTTTGTGGAGCCACAGTTTGTTTTGCACAGAGCAGTTACACTGTTCCTCCTCAGGCTCCCTCTGGTTGGAGCCCTACACAAACTCAGCTTTTTTTCCCCCTGATGCTGGAAACCTCATCTGCTTGCAAGTGTGACAGCAGCACATTCCTGCCCAGAAAGTTAAAGACATGGACTGTGCATTCCCCAGGGCAGGATAGAAGAGACTTGACCAGGATTTTTACTTAGCACTACCCCCCAAAACCACAGGCCTAGAGCCTTTAATTGAGTGAGACAAAGAAATCCACCTCCTGGAGATCACAGGTATGTGGTGTTCCACCAAATGAGAAATTTCTTTCAAGAAAATCATTCTCAGCCTGGAAGAGTCTGGAAAACTTGACCAGACGCAATGGTGAGTGGTGAAAGAAGAGCCCTCCTGGTGATTCCAAGCCCAGCTAACCAAGGCCAGAGCATCCCAGTGCTCCAGGAGCAGCAGAGGGGAGGATTTGGAGGGGAAAAACACAGAGCACACCAAAGCATGAGTGTGCCACACCTGCTCTGCTCTCTGCTCTGCAGAGCCACACTGAACCCCATCCCCTCCATCACAGAGAGGAGCAGACAAATATTTACCCATCCAGCTGAGGAGAATGATTTTACTCAAGAGCTAAAAGCGCTGCCTTGCCTGGGATGTTTATTCTCAAATAAATCCCCTCTCTTCAGCCTCTTCCTTTCTTCAGAGCAGAACCAGTTGCCCTGAGCTGCTCTAACATGCACATAAACAAGCAAGGATTTCATTGCAGCTGAGTGAGGAGAGCCTGGTTTTGCCTATCTGAGTGTCTCTCCTGCTGCCAGGGCACATTTTTCATCTTATTTCATGCAGGTTTTTTGCTGTTTGTGACACTATGGGGGTGATTTCTGGGGTATAAAGGAAAGCCTGTTGGCAGATTTGCTGAAGAAACAAGGTGTGACACGAGCTCAGAGCTTGAGGGGGTGGTTCTTGGACCTGTGGGAACAGCTCCAGAAGGATTTCTTTTAGCTGAAAGGGCAAGTAGATTTTGAGATAATCATAAAAAACATCCATTCCTCTCCAAAACTGAAGTGATGATTTAGGTACCACTAAAGGAACATGTTATGGAGCTCATTTGTAACTCATAGTTTGTTTGGTTGCGTTAACTGGGGCTGAGAACAGCCTTCCTGCAGCCTTCCCCACCAGCTCCCACCCCGTGGGCATCACTAAAATAACGTAACTCATAGTTTGTTTGGTTGCGTTAATTGGGGCTGAGAACAGCCTTCCTGCAGCCTGGGCATCACTAAAATAAACCCAGCTGCCTGGGTTAGCAAATTATTCTTGCCACAGATTAAAAATACAATAACTGACTAATAATGTTTGCATCCTTAGAGCTCTTTGAGCACAACCCAGGTATTGCTTAGACTTCAGAAGTCCCACAGGGATGAGGATTACCAGAACTCTCTTTTCTGCCTGGGGCAGGGCACGCTCCTGAGATGTGTCTTTGCTCCAAGGTCCCTCCCTGGCACTGTCCTGGGGACAACAGCTGGAGAAAGTTTTTTCCATAAAGTGGAGGCCAGATCAGTTTGTATCCACAGACTGTCCCTTCCACAGGCAGCAGTTCCACCTAGACAATCTTTTCCATTTGCAGAATCCCCTGAAAGCTCTCAGACTTTTCACTCCCTACCTCTGGGTACCTAAATCTTCATTACAAGCAGCAAGTCCCATGTCCCAGGCTGGGGAATGGATCAAGGCATCCTCCTGGTGCAGGGCAGGCTCCTCAGAGGATGCTGAGCTCACAGCTGGTGCAGACACCAAAAACCAGGCAGGATTTAGCACCTGGAAGCAGCAGTGCAGAGCTCAGCCCCAGAGCAGCAACCTTTACAGGATCCAACAGCAGCTTTCAGCATTAAAGGTCTCCATTCAATAGAGAAGCTGCAATGTTCTTTCCCATTTTGCCAATATTTACAAGTGAGATGCAAGGAAGAGCCCAGGCTGGGGAGTGCTGGGCATCCCACTGGGGTCGCTGAGGATAAGGGAGGGGAGGTGACAGGCTGGGGACAGACAGAAGGCACCAGCAGCAAAGCCCAGCTATAAAATGTTTGGAACCATCAAATGAGACTGCAGCAAACAGAACAGGAGCACCAGGATACACCAGTCACTACCAACAACCCTCGTACTTGTGTCCCCCTGCACAAAAAATGAAGGAAAAATGTCCCAAGTCCTCAGGATTAACCTAAAAGCAGACACTAAGATGATTATGTAGGAACCAAATTTAATCATGTCCTTTCTTAAAGTACTATAAAGATTCCAATCCCACTGGTTTCCCAGGGGCATGTTCAGACCCCATAAGGTTCAAGGGAAAATAATGACATATATTTTGACAGATGGATGTCGCTGGTTTTTACTCTCTGAATTGAAGAATGAAATTCCTGATTATCCACACAGTCTGTAAGTCAACAGCCACAAAAATGGCTGTATTTGCCTTGTTGTATTTACCTTTTTAAGTGTAATCTCTTACCAGTTATCAAACTATTGAGATGAAGCTTCTAACCCCAAGTTTAGAAGCAACCTATGGATAAAATAGCAGCATCAGCATATGCATAAAAATCAGTGTCTTAAAATGAAATTAAAAATTAAAGCCTTTTAAAAAAAATCAAAATATCAACTTGTGAACTTGTGCTCTGTATCTTTCTAAAAACCCTCCACCAACATTTTCCATCCTAGGAACCTCTCCCAATTTGGGTCATTTTCAGGAAATTAAAGTTTAAAAGCATCAGGTACACAAGAGATTAAGCAAAGAGAAGGAAATGAAATAAAATAAAGCCCAAACCTGCCACTCTTTTCAGCTGGAGACCATGGTCCGTGGGTGCAGGACTGGGTGCATTCCCAGCTCTGTGGGAAGAGCAGCCCTGGCAGATGTCCCTGGAGCACTAAGCTGTTCTGTGTGGCAGCATATCCCCATGCTCCAGGGCTCTGTGCCATCCCAGGGCTCTCTGCACATCCAGGGAATCTCGTGTGACTCCTCTGCTTTACAGCACTGCCCTGACTAAAGCCACAGCTGGGAGCAAGACTTACATTGTGCAAAACTGAGGGACCACAGGAAAAGGGAAGAAAGAGAAAGAAAGACGCAGGGAGGGACAATGTTCACTCCAACAGCAGGATCTCATCCTCATTTCACTGATATCCAAAGACATTTTGCCTTCATCTCCACACCAGGAGCAGCACTCCTGATGTACACAAGTGCATTAAATAAAACAGTTGCCCTCCTATAGGAATGTGCCCCCTGTTGATGGAGTGACAAAACTGTCCTTTGTCCCCTTAAAAAGGAAATAAGCCCTGAAGTTTTTCTCCTTGATTAGGTGAAAAGGCATCTCAAACTTCACCTCAAACTTAAGGATAGCTGACTGGACAGGAGCCAAAAAGTCCTGCCTGAGCAATTTACTAGAAAAAGAAGAGAACAAAGAAACGAATCACTTTTGTGAGGTGTTTTACCAGGGGCAAGGACTCTTACACCTGGCTCGGTTTTTCTCTGTGAAGAGTTTGTTATTTTGCCTTTTATTAAAACCTTTTATTTTCCAACACTACCACAGGAACCATCCTGCGATTTTATGCCTTCTAAGGTAGCTGAGCTATCTTGGGTGTGAAATAGATCTCCAAGACCTTATGAGACCTGGCTCGAGGAGACTCATAAAACCAGTCTTTAATGCCATTTTTTTCCCCCTGATGCTTGAAGTAGAGAACACAAAAACACAAGGAGAACGTCTCTGGGGAGAAAAGAACCCTTGAGAGGAGCACAGCCGCGTTCCTGGGGTGAAGCACAAGGCACGCATGGAGGAGTGCAGGGCTCCCACTGCTCCTCGGATCCTCCCGCCCGGCTTTCCTGGCTCGCTCTGTTCCTGCTGGGCTCGGGCTGGTTCTGTTCTGCCGTGCAGGGCCCGGGCTGGGCGGTGAGCGCCATGAGAGGGTGAAGGCGGAGAGGAGCACAGCCGCGTTCCTGGGGTGAAGCACAAGGCACGCATGAAGGAGTGCGGGGCTCCTGCTGCTCCTCGGATCCTCCTGCCCGGCTTTCCTGGCTCGCTCGGCTCTGCTGGGCTCGGGCTGGTTCTGTTCTGCCGTGCAGGGCCCGGGCTGGGCGGTGAGGGCCATGAGGGGGTGAGGGCAGCCAGCCCAGGCCCTCCCACCCAGCTTTCCTGGCTCACTCTGTTCCTGCTGGGCTCGGGCTGGGCGGTGAGCGCCATGAGGGGTGAGGGCGGCCAGCCCAGGCCCTCCTGCCCGGCTTTCCTGGCTTGTTCCACTCTGCAGGGCCCGGGCTGGGCGGTGAGGGCCATGAGGGGTGAGGGCGGCCAGCCCAGGCAGCCGCGCCCTCAGGCCGCGGCCTCGTCCTCGCACACGTCGGGCAGCTCCGGGTCCCTGGCTGCTTCTCTGCTGCCCTGTGTTCTGCACGGGTGGTGAGGAAAGAAAGTCATTGTGGGCACACAGCAAGGCAGGGGGGGTTTATATCAAGAGGGAGTAGCAATGAACCAGCCTTTGTGCTGGTACCATGTGAACACTCAGCAATATCCCAGCACGATGCCCTGCAGGGATGGGCAGCTTGGCCTGGACACCTGCTCCCAAAAACTGATCTCTCCACTGTAGTAATTACATGTCCTCTGAATAGAGAGAGCCATGGATCTCCCAGGAAAATCCTGGGAAGCTGGGCAGAAGCTGTGAGAAACTTAGAGGAAAGAATTCCAACAATTATTATCTCTCTTTCTGTAACCATTGTTTATAGATATGGTTCTCCAGAGTGTGCTATTCATAGTTCACCAGTAGTGTGAGAGAAGATTCCTAAAGGCCAATCAGGTCTTAGGTCCACCATTGTTTCCATAAGAACTGTAGATTTCCAATAATGAAGTGCTTTTCAAGCCTTCTGATGGTGGAGTCTCTGTGTCGCCTTTGGCTGTCCCCGATACCCCTTTGGTCATACTCCACTTCCCCGAATGCCCTTCTTCATGAGGAGGTATATGGTTTTAGGGGAAAGTCTTGCAGACCAGCAGCATGGTTTCTAGTTTGCATTTAGAGAGTTCTGGCTTGCTCTCCTTTAATTTGATTTTTTAAATAAAGATCAGAGGGATGGGTTGTTCCCACAGCTGCTTCTCCAAAGTGCTGCTGTAAATGGCAGTAAAGCTAAATGTTTCTACCAGAACCCAGTTTTTCCTACACAAAAACTGTGCAATTTTGGTTTCTATGAGTCTGCCTGGTCCCCAAAAACAGCAGTCCCCAAAACCTGAGAGCAGCAGCCCTAAAACCTCAGCCAAGGTCACTTCCTTGCACTGAACACACACCACACTAACTTCAGCCTTTTCCTCCTACTCCTAACTTTTGATGTTTTCCCATGTAGAAGGCTTGAGCTGTACTGCACTCCAGGGCACCCTCGAGGAGCAGCACCTGCACCCAGCCCAGCGCCCCCCAGACAGCATGTGACTGTCCCTGGATGTAGAAAAGGAGACACCTCCAGGTGCCACCCACAGCAGAAACTGATCACAGGCAGGTGACTTCACCTAGAACACCCATTTCTCCATCATAAAGATATCCACAACACAAAGGAGGTGATCATTTCCAAGTATTGTCTCTCCCAGGTGTCCAGCCTTGCTCACAGCAGTCTGGCTGTAGCACAGAATCATGGAATGGTTTGGGTTGGAAGGAGACCTTGAAGATCACCTTGTTCCATCCCCTGCCATGTGCAAGGACACCTCACCTTCCACCCTCCCAGGCTGCTCTGAGCCCCATCCAACCTGGCCTTGGGCACTTGCAGGGATCCAGGGGCAGCCACAGCTGCTCTGGGCACCCTGTGCCAGGGCATTCTGTAGAACCTGCATGGACAAGCCAGCTTGGCAGTGGAGTGTCAGTGCTGTTGCATGTGCCTGGACCACACAGTGTTTGGGGGCTCTGGGGGTATTTCCTGGCTAGGAACAACACGAAGTACACACAGGGCTAACCTAATTTTTGAAGAAACCAGAAATGATCAAAAATCATGTTCCCTTCTCCCTCCACTTCAGCAAAGCTCTGCAATAAACCTGACCTTGAACCCATGGACAGGGAAGGCTGAGGAGCAGCCTTGCCTTCAGTGCCTGTCATCCCCCTCTTCAAATGATTGATCACCTCATTTAGCAGCAGGGGCTCTGTTCTGTGGCAGCTCAGCACAGCCCAGCTCCCTGTCTGGCACATCCTGCTGATCCTGCTCCTGTCAGGGGTGTCTTCAATGCTGTCCCACCACTCTGAGCAGCCTCTGCCTCTCCAAACACCTCCATGTCAGGCTGAGAGGACCCTCAGGGTGGCAAACACCAGCCAAAAAGCTGGGGCTGCCTGTGAAGCAGCAGAGATGCAGTACCAGAGCTCCATGTCTGCACAGGAGCCAGGCTGCTGCTGAGAGGCCTGAGGCTGGATGAGAGTCTCCAGTAAATAACTCTTGGTGAGAAATAAGACTCTATTTCTCCTACATTCTGTAAACCGCAGGGGAGCAAAGCCTGGTTTGTGCAGTTACCCAGGAGAGTGCATGGCTGCGGGGGGATCACAGCCACTGGGGATCCACGAGTTTCTTGTCTGTCCCATGAGGAGTGAGCCTCCCCACACTGCCCTCCAAACACAGGAGCACAGGACAGGGAGGGTGTGGGACAACCAACACAGCACAAACACACACCCCTGGCAAGTGCTTAATTCTTCCAGGAGCCCCCATTCAATGCAGGCTGCTTGAGTCCCTTCCTCCCTACGGAAATGCAGCAGCAGGAGGCAGTAGCACCACAGCACTCCCCATCTGCCTCTGCCTGCCTTCTCCTGGCTATTTTTGGAGAATCTCTGCAAGTCCTTCCTCACTCAGAGCAGGTGACATCCTGGCTCTGGCCCATCCATGTGTCTCAGAGCAATAAACCAGGCCAGACAGAGTCTCCAAAGTGCTGGAGCTGCTCCCAAAGGTATTTAGAGATGTGTGGTTGTTTCCCAGTCTCTCAGCCCAGATCTTCCAGCCTGGCTGGAGGCTGTGTCCTGCCTACCACTGGATCCTAGGACTTCCCACTGAGGTGTCTGTAAGCAGCTCATCATGGTTTGCATTAATGCTATTTTGTTATTTAACAGAATTAACCGGACCAACATTTCCTAGAAGGGTCTGTGCAAGTGGTGAACAAGTGATCATGTTTTGATGAAGTCCTGGCTGGGGTGGTCACTTGGAGCAACCAGTTTTGGTCTGCCCTGAGCCCTCCCAGTGCTGCAGCAGAGGCAGAAGCACGAGGAAGTGGTGGAGCATCTGGAGCAGAGATGGCTCCAGCCCTTTCTTTTGCCTAACTACTAAATATTAAACTCAAATTCCAAAGCTCAGCCTTTCCCAAATTCTGTAGCTATTCCCTCTGCAAATGGAGCTGAGCACCACTTCCTGCTAAAACCCAAGTGTTTTTTTTCACCCCTCCCTCCCTAAAAGCAGCCCAAAGAATCACAAATAGAAATAATAATAAAAAGTATACATAAACATTAGTGTCACACACACAGAATGACTGCAGTAAAACTGCTCCTACAGGAAGGAAGGATGGAGCCAAATGCTCTCACTACCACACAAATCACACAGGCTCAGCAGGGGACACAGGTTTCTACAGCACCCAGGGAAAACACAGACACGGAATTACCTTAAAGATGGATGCAAATATACAGATGTGTTTAAGAGGAATCTGTCCCTGAGAGCAAAACAATGAGACAAGGAAGAAAGTGATCATGAAGACAATGGCAGCAGGTGAAGGAGCTTGCATTTCTGTGCCTGTCCAGCCTAGAGTGCAGAGTGGAATGGGGATGGAACATCAGCCACCTTTACCTAAGGACAGATGAGGGCAGGCACTGGTAGCACTGGAACAAACCCTCTCCAGCCCTTACCACTGCTGAAAGCTGCAGATGGCTCCCCACACACTGCTGGTGTCCAGCTGTGCTGCCCTGCCACCTCTGGGCTTTTGTATCCCTTGTGCAATGGGGCAGAGCCCCAGGAGCACTGGGCCCTTCACTGCTGGTGGTGGATCATTCCAGAGGAAAATCCTGTGCCACAGCCCTGTGAGGACACCCACCTGCATGTGAGGTGTTGCTCTTCCCACAAAACATGCAGTTCTCTCTTTGGGAGGAGCTGTTTCTGCTCAGAGATCTGGGCCAGCCACTCCTCACTTTTTTTACCTCCTTTTCCCCCTTAGCTTCCTTGTGCCTAACCCACATGGACAATATGCCCCTAAGGGCAGTGACCCTTCTGGTCTCTTTTTGGGAAGGTTGGAAACAGGGTAGGCTTTTTAAATACCAACTGATCTCCCACAGAGGAGCTGACAACCACACTTCATCAACAGTATTAGCAGCCATAATGGGAAAGTAAATTGGGTCTGTCAAAACACAGCCATTAATTTGATAGGTAGTACTTGCAATAAATGAGAGCAATAAAATGTGGTGAAACCAGGGCTGGCTCAGTTAGGAGAAATGTGGAGAAGGCAGAAGAAATGCAGCGAACACTGCTACCAGAAATCCAGAACTTAGCTGTGAATGCTGAACTGGGCTTAAAAAATACTCTGGAGCTGGAAAATTAGAAAACATCAGTTGCTTCTGCAGCCACCATTAATGATGGGCCTGAACCTGGCCATGGTCTGCAAGATCTGTAAGACTCCATGAATCACTGCCTCTCCTGGGAGATCCTGCAGGAAAGGCAGGATCCAGTGACACCTGGCACTGCCCAGCTGACAGGGAGGTGACAGCTGGCAGCTCTCACACCATTCTAGGTGTGCAAAACAACCACTGCTAAATGGGGCATCATCCTTTTAGTTCCTCTCCACCTGCTGAGTGTGTCTGCACTGAACATCTGCCTTTTAAACTGCTCAGTGCTGATAAACAGAGCAATAAATAACAGCCAGGAGAGGATTCACTTCTTCCCGGTCTAAAGAGTGTTCAAAAAACGTTCTGTCCTCCCAGTATTGACTTCAGAACTGTTTCACATCAGTGGTGTCTTAATGGTGTCCTCTAAAGGCATCAAGGCCACAGCAGGAAAGCCCTGCTGCTACCACAGATATCTGCCCAGAGCATTTCCAGGGACAGAGCCCAGCATGCTGTGTAGGTAATGCAGGGACAAATTACAAAAAGATTCCTCTCCAAATCCCAAAGAGTGAGCTTGAAGGACAGCTCCATTTTAAGAGTCATCAATTAGGCATCAAATAGCAGAAAGCTCTGGTACCAGAGCTCAGCTCATTGCCAGAGGATTTCCTACAGAGTGTATCCTCAGAAATGGCACAGATGTAAGATGCTTGAAGCAGCGGTGAGTGGGGCCCTGGCAATTTCACATGCAGCCTAATTAAATAAATTGAATGTGAAACTGGAGTATTCTAATTGCTTTCCTTTTTTTTTTTTTTTTTTTTCTGTAGAAACACAACAAGTTATTTCCTACCTACAACCAGAAGGAGATGCAGTATTACAAAATCTGACTTCTGTCCCTCTGAAGACCCTGCCACTGGGACAAGGAGCTCTGTGCAGGAGAGCTTGGCAATGTGTGGCTCATTTTTTTCTCAGTTCCTCCAGGGCAGCCACATGTCCAGAGCACAGTGATGGCTGCAGGCACTGCTTTTCTGGCAGGTCCCAATTTTGGGGTCCCTGTGCAGCTACAAGCATGATGGACATGCAGAGCCTTACTACAGCAATATTATCTGCTCCTGCATGATCCTAAAGCTTTACAGAAATCCAGACTCACTTGAAACTTATTTTAACACAGCTCTAATCATAACATTGGCACTTTATATGTGTAGCAAGGGTGGTTTTTCCAGGGAACAAGCAATATGGATTAAGAAGTGGATGAGCTGGGTGTCTACTCTGTTTGCCCCAGAGGAAATAACACTGTCATCAAGAGATAACTCACTGAACAATGAATATTTCCCATTTAGCTGTGGTTCACTTAAGATTAATGTCATTAGATCCAACACATCTATTTAAATTTGAAGTTATTTTCATTAGATTCAGTCAGTAAAATGTTTTCCAAAGTTTGAAATAATATTAATCCATATGCCTTAAAAGGAGCATCCCTGCTGTGGTGTTTAATATACAACACCATTTGTTGGAGAGACTTGGCAAGTATCTTTCTTTTAAACAACAGTTTTGAGATGGGTTCTCAAAGCTCCAGTTGTGCATGAAATAACTTAGGATTAAGTCAATTGTTACTGCCAAAAATTGGCACTGATGGCATGAGACTGAGAAATTAAGCACAGGGATTGGTGCAGTGGAGAACCAGCACATTCATATTGATTTTGGATATTTCTAAGTGCTCACACAGCTGGGCAGAGGCCAGCCCAGCATGGCTGCAGCTCCTTCCCTGGCCTGGCATGATTTTGTAAACTAAGGGCACCAGACACAGCAGCACAACAGTGGAAATGACACACTACTATAACAATAAATCTTTTAGTCTGTACAAGGAGTCTGAAAACACACCAGAATGAGCTGAGACAGGGAAAGATGCTGGGTTTCAATGAACTGAAAAAAATCTGACTAGCAACTTTAAAAAGGAGACAAAAGTGGAGGCTTACAGCTCATCTTGAAAGCCTAAGAATATTTTATAAAGGACAAGACATTGATAATGTGGCTGATCAGAAGTTTCACAGCTACCTGAGATCAAATGAACTTTGGTTTTGAGCAGATACTAAAGCCCCCAGCTCCAGGCAGGAACCAGCATCAAGGGTCAAGGAGTTTTCCCACCACCTGGGTGAGTTTTCAAGCACCTCAAATGAAGGTAGAAGGGAACAGGTCCCTTTTGGAAACAGTCTCAGGGTTACCACCCTGAAATATCAGTTCAGGCTGGGTTTGAAAAGAAGTCTGCCTTGCTCCAAGTTACCTGTCTGGGACAGTGGGAAGAATAAAATACATTTTTCTTCAAATTTAGTAAATGTTTCCCCATTTCAGAGCAATGCAATGCAGTCACCAGGAATGATAGTGAAGATGTGAGCAGGGACATGTGTCCAATTAGCAGTAACTAATTTGGAAGGCATTGAATGAAGAGAAACAAATCAGGGCAAATCCCTTGTGCTAAGAGCTGTGACTGCCATGCTCCAGATGTGTCCCACAGCAGCACTCATGAGCAGGGTGTTTAAATGCCAAACTGGTGTCTGGCAATGGACAGCAAGACAAAGTCTTCATTAAGTCTCCAATACCCAGCTGGGGACCTAGAACATGATCATCCTTAATTGAGCTGAGCCCTGAAATCCCCATACACCTGTGAGAGACAGAGACTCCTCTAATTGTGTTATCAGTGGTGCAGTGAGGCTCAGCACACCCTCCAGGGAGTCTGCTAGGAATGGGACTGGGATTCTGGGTGGAAAAGAATCATTTTGGGACAACGCAGCTTTGTTGTCCACAGCCTTATAGATCTTGTGGGGCGAGAACTTTATTTATAAAAAAATTGTCCCAGATCAGGCTACTGGTCTAGCTGTTATTTACTGGACTGATGACCCAGAATCCTGGCTCTGAAAGGAATCAGTGACAAAAATGAAGGAGAAAGAGTAAGAACCAAGCAAAGGACAGAAGAATTCTCTCCCCATCCCCGTACACATCATCATGGTTAAAAACTGCTGATGAATCTATTAGTCATCAAGATCTCTATTCCCTTTTTAATCCCAATATAGTAATTTATACCCACCCTCCAAAGTATCCCCTTGCAATGTGTTCCACTATTTCATTAACTGGCAAAAAACTGTGTGGAAAAAACACTGTATGTGTTCTTGAGTGAAAAGGCAATTTCAAAGTGTTCTCTTTTGTCTGACCATGATGTCTCTGCCCAGACTTGGGTCCCAGACCCCAGGTCAAATCCCATAATCTCATTTTGTGTTAAAAAACCTGCATAAACTGCTCATTTGGTACCATTTCTGTGGTCCATAGAAAGGAGAGAAGAATTAAACCCTCCAATATATATCCAAACTAGAACCTAATTAAACTTATTTCACTTCAGCAATCTGTAATGGATCTTTGATCACAGAATTATAAACTATCAGGTGAAAAAACAGACTCAAGTTTAGCACCTTACATGTATTTAGGCCAAACCCATCTTACAGAGAGAACTGCATCTATAAAAGAGTTTTGAGGCTGCAGCAGTACACTGCACTTCAATCTGAGAGGACTTGAGGTAGGTTTTATCTCCAGTGTTTGATGCAGAAGGGAGTTTTGTCTTTAAATGCTACAGAAAAGATTTGCAAAGTGCTTCCCCCACCCTCCCTCCCCACAAGCCTTGGCCCTGGCCGTGCTGCAGAGCCAAGCACGGCTGTAGGTACCTACATCAGCAGGTTCCCTGGAGCAGACATGGATCTCTCCTCCCTCCTCGTCTGCACCTCAAAGGGGTTCCCAAAGGAGCGTTTCCTCAGCATGGCCTTCACCAGGATCTTTGAGGAAGAGAACAGAGCAGTGAGAACAGCAGGACTGGCTCCTGGAAGCCAGTTCAAAGAAGGAACAACAGCTTCTTTAATAATTCAGCTGACATTTTACAGCAAAGAGCACGAAGCAAAGCTGTTTGAGAGAGCCAGGCTGCTGCAGCAGTCAGATACAAGAAGTTCCTACCAGGTCAGACTGCTGAGATTTCATGCCAGGAACACACATGTCCCCTCTCCAAACCTCCTCCAGCAGCTGAAGGCTTCAGCCCAGCCCACTGCTCAGAGGAGGTGGTGTGTTTCCCACGTACCACAGCTGGCAGGCTGGGGATGGTCTTCACAGAGTTCTTGACCTCCTCCTCGGTGACCTCCACCACGGAGCAGTGCTCCTCCTCCAGCGGCAGCGGCTCCGCGCCGCCCCGGCTCAGCCAGGGGTGCACCTGCACGGGGACACACAGCTCTGGGCTGCCACAGAAACGGGGCACAGGCCTCACTGCTGTCACTACTGCTCCCTCTCCCACTGCCAGAGGTGGTTTCTAACCAGCCTCCTTGGAAATGGCTGCAGTCTGGCTCAGTGCTGTCACCCACCAGCACCATGGCACCCCCTGAATAAAGTTTGAAACACTTTGACAACCTGAGTTATCTGGAGCATTTTCATTCTTTGTCTTGCATGCAGCAGAGCAAAGCACCCTTTTCTTGCTGCCTCTCATGGGATGGTTTCTCGGCTGGGAGCAGAGGAAAGCCCTGTCTGAGGGCATGGGCTGAGCACAGAGCCCAGCCTGACACATCCTCTGTCAGAGTCCAAGGCAAGTCCCCAGGGACACCAGCCAGGGACAAGGGCCGGCACTCAGCTCTGCTCTTCTACCCACAGGGTCTCACGGTGTGCCTGCATGAGCTGTCAAGTGAAATCCCATAAATACAGCTCCAAACCTGCCTTTGGCCTCCTGGGCATGGAGGGAAGGGATGTCACAATTTTTTCCTGAAGCTCAGCCTTTCTAGTGTCAGCTTTGGTGGCAATACTGGTGTTGGCCTGGGACAAAGCAAAGCAGAGCTTGCCCTGTAGAGCACGCTGAGGGATCTCTATGGAAATTTTGAGAACTTCCAGCAGGTCTAAAGCCTTGGTGAGGGGTGACAGGAGGACAGCAAGCCTACACAAACCCAGAATGAAACCACAACGTGTGAAGCATTGTGCTCTGCCAGGCCTGTTCATTTTTTCTATTATTAAACATCTTCCAAATAATGGTGATAAAAAAAAAAAATGTGCTGCCCTGAGGCCACTGGCCACACAAGGACCAGCAGAGGAACACACATCCAGTCCCTGGAATGCACATCCAACACTGCCAGCCCAGGCTCTGCAGCTAGCAGCTCCCCTGACAATGCTGATTCTCCCAGGGATTCACTGAGATCAGCCAGCTTTTGAGTAGTTTTCATTTAAATAAGCAAACAGGAAAGCTTTTGTCAATATTCCCTGAGCAAGAAGCAGTATTGGAGCTGTGGCTGCAAAATGAGTGCTCTCCTTCTCCAAGGGAGGGTGCTAGAGACAGCTCCCAGTACAAACAGTGGGGACAGCTCTGCCTCATTAGAAGGTACCAAAGGACATAAAATCAGCTGAGACTAAAAGCTCTAATATCAATTAGATAATGTCTTACCTTTATTTCAGGGACTGTTATCCTTGTTTCTGGATTTTTATCGAGCATGCGCAGTATCAGCTCCTTGAGCTCGTCACTTATCTGTGCTCTGAGTGAAGAAAACAGCAGGACACAGTTAACAAGGGAGTTGTAAATGCAGCAATGCACAGTTCTTACTGCAGGTACCTGCTCTGCTCAGGAGGTACTTTCTCTGCAAAGCTGGCTTGGAAAAAAGGAAGGCAACAGAGTCACTGCTGCAGGGCTTGGTTATCCTGTCTTGGTTATCCTGTCTTGGTTATCCTGTTCTGCCCCCTAACACAGCAGCACACGCCCAAAATGCAGGATGAGGGATCAGGTGAAGGGGGTCTAAGGACATTCTTGAAGACTGTACTACATAGGGGAATTTCTGTGGGGAGATTTGGAACAACAAAGTGCTCCTGAGAGCAGAACTGGAGTTGAACTCTGTGAATCAAGAGGGGCACAGCTTGATTTCCTGAACTTGCATCATGAGCAACTGTATGCTGGATAGAACACCCCCATCTGACATTCAAGTCCCCAGCTAAGCTTCTAGGTTGTGTTATTTAAATTGCTTCCAGAACACAGATTGCAGGCAGCCTGTAACTCAGTATCCCCTACCTGCAAAGCTCAGCCTTGGGGTAACAACAGGAGGGAATAAACAAATGCAAATAAGAGAAATATATCTAAATTTTTAACACTATTTCCAAGATGTAAATGTGAGAGCACCTGAACCCAGAAGCCACTCTATTGACATGGAGCCCTTGGTCCTGCAGCCCAAAGGCTGCAATGACTCCTGTGGTTAATGATGCAGGAGATGCCTTTAAAATGCACAGGATCTGAATGATCAAAGTGCTGTTGCAGTAAAATGCCAGCATGTGACTGAATTGTATTAGGCAGTTGAAAGTCTGTGTCACAAATGACTCTAGAAGAATTGTGCTTCTTCTTGGAGATGGAACTTAGCAGCACAAAATGTCACTCCCCAGGAAGGTTGGATTTGAGACTGAAAACAAGAGTGAGCACCAGGTGCTGTGCCCACCTCCTCTGCAGAGAAGGGAATAAACTATCACAAACCAAAATGCAAACCACATCACAGCAAGGGATATTTCAGTCTGATGAAAACAGAGCTGCTGTTTAATAATTCATGAATATTTTATTGGGACTTTGGCTATGAGATCTTTACAAACAACCACAAGGAAATGCTGCTTGTTCAGAGGCAAAAAGGGGGTTCAGTTTGAAGTCTAAACACTTAGAGTTGCATCAAGGCTCTGCTGTACACAGGCAGCAGAGCCCAGACAAGGGGAAAGAACAGGATGAGTCCTCAGACTTGGGTGATAATTTCAGTTGAAATGGAAAGACCGGTGCTGCTCTTGGGATAAGCTCCAGAGGAACAGCCATAGGCACTGACAGTGCATTTAGCAGCCCAGAATGAACAGATTCCTTCCAGACACCACACTGATGCAGGTGAGATGGCATTTTAAAAAATACTTTAAATCAGTTCTGTGCCAAAGTGTCAACAGCTTTACTCAAAATAAAATAAATGGAATATAAAATCACTTAACATTTCTGGGCACCAGACTGATTTCTACATAACACAGGATTGAAGTCCTAGGGAAAAGCCCCATCAACAGGATCACCAAGTGTCAGGTGGGTTATGGCCAGGTAACAGATCACATCACCCTGTCTCAGGTTTCCCTTCTCTCCAGTCTGCAGCAGTGTGAACACTGTGCCTGGTAGCATTTTTCCTTTGAAAAGCCTGCACTGTCTGGGATTCCTCACAGCCATAGTCCTGTAAGAGCTCTCAGGGAGATGCCAAGCTCAGAGCTCAGCATCCATTCAGGAGGGTTGCCAGCACCCAGATCACTTTACAGGGTGCCTGCAGGTCAGGGATCATCCTGGGCTTCACCAGGAGGGAGCTGCTGGCTCTGCTGACACGTTTGAAGAGAAACTTCAGCCTGCTTTTTAGTCACGCCAGGATCCTCAGAGTGTGAGCTAAGCCCATTTACTTCATGTCATGCCAAGGACTCAGTGACATGAATGAGAACTCCAGTGCCACAAATATTTATCCTGGTGTCTCTAAGGGAAGGGACAAGATGGTGACACCGGTACAGTCAGATCCATCTGTCCTAAAGGTTGTCAGGAAACAGGCAATGAGTTTCCATGGGCACTCTGCAAACAGGAATGTGTCTTTTGTAGCCATGGTGAAATAAATTGAAACCAAAATACTTCTCACTATAGAGAGGTGCTAATTCTCTGGGAGGTCAGGGTGGATCCACTCCAGTGAATTCCATGTCTCTGTGGCTGCCTCTAACAAATAGATGTGGTTTGGACAGCTGTCAACACCTAGTAACCCTCAGCTCCTCCAACAACCTAATCAGGGTGCAGCTTTTTTTAGACTGGGAGAACAGGTCACTAAGGAATCCACATAAATCATGCAGCCCAATTATGGCTGAAGGAAATGCCTGAATGAAGGAACAGATCTCAGCACAACCTAGTTAGCCCATTAAATGTTAATAACTTATTGCAGAGGCAGATGGGAACAGTCACTTGTAAGCTGACTGCTAACCCAAATACATGGTGGCTGAGGGAGGGGTGGGAGTTTTGCCAGCCTTGAGCAAGGGAGAAAACTGCCAGGGGAACATAAACAGGTTTGGAGTTTTTTTGGCTGCAGTGCTGTCAAGACAAAGTCCTGTTCCAGCTGCAGGTAGGGACACAGCAGTGGAGCATGACCAGCCTTTGTGCTCCTAAAGCCTCAACTCAGTCACCTGGGCCTGCCAGAGTTGCTCTTTGCCTGCATTGGGGTCTGTGTATGCCCTAAAAGTGGGCTGAGCCCCAGGGCCTTGGAGCTGCAGGTCCTGTGCAGGCTCCAGCTGGGCAGAGGAACTGAGCTGCCTGCAGTGGCTGTGGCTCCTGTCAGTGCAGGGCAATTAATGCAGCCCAGGTGTCTAAAAGAGACCACCCTGAGTATCCATCCCTTTCTGTGCAATCAGAAGAAGTCTGGGACTGTCAAGGTACAGGCCCAGCCCTTTACTGTAATGTGAAAATTCAGTGAGCATGTCACAGAAGATCTTGCCTTGCCATAGATGTTGGATACATGCACATACCCAGGCTGCCTCACAACATCCCTCCCTGCCTCTCCAATACCACACGTGCCTCTCATTAGAGTTTTAATTTGTGCTTGCTCCAAATCAAGTCATTTAATCTATACATTTTTATTGGAATGAACAATTAGGTCAAGAATTCTTTGCCTGACTACTGTGTGGATTTGGGAGGGAAAACAAAGAGTCCAGCTCTGGCTAATTCATCTGTCAGGAACCAGGGGAAACAAACTCTTCACCAGCAGGAAGGCACCAAAGGCCTAAAGCTGAAGGAAATGCTGAGGAGTGGCCAACACTTGAAGCTCCAGGAATAGTGACCAGGGAGTGTCACCCTCTGCCACACTCTGACCATGAGCACTTATAGCTCAGGACTGAACCTGCACTGCTCAATGCCATGGGAGTGGCCTTGGCTTGTCCCCTGCCCTGCTGAGGACACGCTGTCACCACAGCTGGCCTTCCCACCCGAGCACCCCAGCACTGCACAGGGGTTCCCCTCCCTGACCAAAGCAGGGTGGGAGCAGACCCTCAGGAGATCACAGGTGAATTAATTCCTGGTTTTTCCATAACTGCCAGGTTTTTTCCTCTTTGCCAGTACAGAAGACAGACCCATGTTTGTCTTGGGGTGTGCTGGAGGAGTGGGATTTGCTAAGCTGTGGTTGCACATCTCAGGCCAAGCATCCTTCCATCAGACAGTTCCCCTGCTCCAAGGGAAGGCCACAGGACAGGGATGTGTTTACTTAGAGCTTTATCACTACATTGCTTTTGAAAATGAGTACATTAAATCATTCTGGTGGCTGCTGCAGGGGGAGAGAGAAAACCCCAACCAAACATGCATCCAGCATCTCCAGAGTCAGTAGGTGGGGCAGAACTTCCAAGATCCTGGAATCCCTTCACTTCCAAAGAGCCACTTCCTTTAGTCCCTGTCTGCACAGCAAGGACAGAGGAGGAGCAGAAGCACTCTGAACACCTCAACACCAGCACAAAACCCACGTGAGGGACCCAGGAGAACACAGAGCACCTCACCCACCCATGTCCATCCCCCCCTGGTGACCACTGTGCCACACAGAGAATAATGCTGAACACTGAACTTTATTTTACAGCAGCTGAGTAAAGTTTACTCACTCTTCTGGGAACTCTACAGGCTTGGTCTTGATCCTATTATGAAGACCCAGAATATATTCATCTATAAAAGGGCACTGTAAAACAAACAAAGAGATTTTCCAGTTGTCCAAGATCCTGGCATCACTCAGGCATTTGTCATTCATGTAACACCAAGTACAACCTCTGCACTCCCTGGATTTTACACAGAGATGGAAATAAATTAAATCTCCCCACACACAATAAATCGATTCATTCCTTATTAAAAAAATAAATTCAGAAGAACAGCAGAGGCATCTGGGGAATACACAAGTGGACTGGAATACCCTCCTTCATCCAGCCTGCCAGGTGACCATGAACTGCCTCTGTCACCTCCCCTGGCCACTTCTCACCCAGAGCTGGATGCCTGGTGCCCGTGGGGTGGGATCTGCAGAGGGCAGAGGTTCAGAGGCTGCTCACACCTCCTGTTCTGCTCATCCTGGGACAGCAGGGGTGGCACATGGGGCTTCAGGCCACAGGGGAGGGAAAGGCCATGACAGGACACGGGGTGTGCAGAAGGCAGCACTGGAGAGCTGCCTCTGCCAAACTGGATCCCCCATCAGTCCCAACTCAGCTCTGGCAGCCAGAGCTTTCTGTAATCTGGTTCACAAAGTGCTGCAGCAGTTTGGGATCAATCCTGTACCTCTATCCACACTCTGGCTCATTTCTAAATGCAGGAAATGTGGATAAACTCCCCACAAACTGCTGGTGGTGCTGCTGAGGCTGCTCTGGGTTTGTAGCTCTGCATTCAGGGCCCAGTGCTGGAAATGATCCTTTCCACAGATCACAGCCTCAGCCCCTTCTGAGCTGCAGGGGGGTTTTTGAGCTTAGAGAAGGCAGGTCTTTGTCTCTAATATTTGCCTTTATTTGGAAAGGAATGAATTAAAAGGCAGGCAGACAGTGCAGTGCAGGGCTCCAGCACTGAAAGGCAGCTTACCTTCCCATAAACAAAGCAGTACAGGGTGATTCCCATGGCCCACACATCCAGGGCCTGAAAGAGAGCATGAACAGAGAGTAAAGGAGAAGCAACACAGATAATCTGAGTAAGCTGGATTTTCCCAGCAATTCAGAAAACACTCTTTGTATGGATCTAACATTTCTATGTCACATTGAAATTGGGCTCCTAAGGGCAGCTCTTGCACACCAGAGGAATGAGGGCTGTGCTGGGCCAGGCATTGCTCCCTTGCCCCACTGAGACCAGCAAGCAGCCCCTTCTTACAGGAAATTGCACCATTCAGGGCTGAACTTCAAACACTTTTCCAGATTAAACAAAATCCCTATTAGGCTCTATCCCTCTGTCTGCATCACCACCCTTGGCAGTGCCTGTCACTTCCAGGAAATCAAGGTATGACCTTGGTGCTCAGCAGCCCTCTGTGCCTTTTGATTATTTTGGGAGGGAATCAAAGGCTTCCTCCTTTCCCTTGGGGCAGGGAAAGGGCTCTAGCATGGCTCCTGCCTAGCAGGGATCCTCAGCAAAGTGTCTGCCCACTGCACAGAACCACCAACGTGAGCTTTGCCTGGACTGAGAGAATTAGAGCTTCAGTTTTACTGAAAGACAGCCCTAATTTGTACCACAGTCAGCATGCAGGTGTGGCACTCCCTCTGTGCCATGCCTGGGGGTCTCAGGAGCCCCCTGTGAGCAGAGACCTACCTTTCCACTGAAACTTTTGCCAGTCTGTGAGATGGCCTCAGGTGCCATGAAGGCTGGTGTCCCTGCTGTGCTGGAAAGCTGGGCATCATTCCCTTCAAACTGATTGCTGACACCAAAATCAGCAATTTTGACGTGGCCATCATCTCCTAAGAGCAAGTTGGAAGGCTTGATGTCCCTGTGGATGATCTTCTGGTAGTGCACTGAAAAACACCCAAAAAAGGAGGCAGAATTGGCCAGGGCAGCCAACACACCCAGAGGAAACCTTTCCAGGAGGGGGAAAATAAAGGTGCAAGCTCAGGCACCACACTCCCAGCTGCTGCTGGAGATGGAATATAATGGTTCCTACAGCCATTCCTTTTTGGTGCCTCACTGGGACACAATTCTCAGAAATAGATCTAGGAATTATGCAAAGAAAAGACACAAACTCAGGGACAGCTCAGCCAGAGGGGACAACCAATGTGTCACCATCATATTTTCTGGAAAAGTCCCTTCACCAGGAAGCTGAGAAGCTCTCCTGGGAAGCTGAGAAGCCTCAGAGAAAAAGGAAAACAATATTATCTCATTTGCTTCTCCTGTGTTTTGCTGCTTTGGAATGTGGTTGGAGATTGCTTATTTGGTTGTATGTGAATTGTTTTTACTTATTGGCCAATCACAGCCAAGCTCTGTCGGACTCTGGGAGGAGTCACAAGTTTTCATTATTATCTTTTAGCCTTCTGTCTGTATCCTTTCTGTACTCTTTAGTATAGTTTTAGTATAGCTTTCTTTAATATAATATAATAACAGGAAATAATAAATTAGCCTTCTAAGAACATGGAGTCAGATTCATTCCTTCCTCCTCCATCTGGGAAACCCCGAAAATACCACACCAATGTTGCTGGAGAAGGACACCACTCAAATCCTGCAGATTGGCTTGGCCTCATCACACCAGCTGATGGGCTGGGCCACCTGCTGTATTACAGGTTTGTGGGACCCAAATGAAGAGGTTCACTTTCAGTTTATTTATTTTGAAACTGCAGTGCTGTGAAGCTCATCAAAAGGGGCAGAACCACAGGTAGAATGAAACAGGTGACAAGCAGCTGAGTGCCAGGGTCAGCCAACAGCTCAGAAATCAGTGGGCATTTCCAGCTCAAAAGGTGGAATAATGGAGCTCCAAGCTTGGAGCAAGCACCAGCACTCCAAAGAGGCACTCTTTATTTAGTTAAACTTCTCAATGGAGCCCACAAATAGAGAAACAACCTCGCCTTGCTTTGCATCACCCCAAACCCCACCCTGGCCCACCAGCCCAGCCATCCCCAGAGCCGTGGCCAAACCTGGCCCTTCATTCCATGAGGCTCCAGCCAAGGCTGCAGCTCTGTCCCACTCCATGAGGGCACCAGCTGAAGTGCTTGTACATCCAACATGAAACAAACCCTTGCAGATAGCTTGGAGCCTGAGATGCACTGAAAAGAACAACAAAACCACCTCTCTTGTGCAATATTGCAGTTGAAAGACATTTCCAGGCCACTGAGTGAAGCAGGCAGTTGTAGGCTGATTTGTCAGGAACTCAGAGAACTTGAAAAATAAAAAAAGCACCAACTTTCAGAACATGAAATGACCCCAAAAGCAGAACTGTATAAACCCCAAGAGACTTTACTGAAGGAGGAGGAGGAAATCCTCTAATCCTGCCCTCCCCAGAGGACCAGGACCCCCATGCCTCCCTCCTCCCCTGGCTCCAACCACTGTTTTCACATTTCCTTCTTGCCAACAGAGCATGTTTGTTTTTATACCTCCGTGAGCACTTTTCATATCTCCTAGGAAATACACGCTGGGTGGAGTAAAATGCTGGTCTAACCCTTTCCTGCTTTACAAACCTGACCAGCACAGTGCCACAAAGGCAGCCTGCCCTATGGAGCATCCCAGTTTGTGCTTTGGGACCAAAAATGAACAAACTTCATTTAAATTTCTGCTCTTTTTAAACCAACTTTCCAGCAGGCCACGCTTGGGGAGGGGAGGTCACACTTGCAGGTATTTTTTTCTGCAAGGCCCACTCCTCAGTTTAAAGCACTGTTGGGGGATGCTGTCCTTGGCACATTAAAGAGCTGTTCTGGAGATCCAGCAGACAAAACTTGCTGGAGAGCACCAGTGCTTACATCTTCTTCCAGATGTGCACCAACTGCATGGCCAGGCTGTGATGGAGGCAGTCAATGATAACAGCCTGCCTAGACAGCCAGGATAAACACCCAAACCCTGCCACAACAGTAATTAGGAGGAAACATCTGCTCAGCAGCAGAGCTGGTGGCAAGCTGACATTTCATTATGGTAATATAGGGAGAGCAAATAAGGGTGAGGGGGGAGTGAAGTTTTCCTTCAAGAGATGATGAGCTGCCTTTCAGGCAGGAGTCTGCTGTCGTGCCTGATACCACAGGGCTAAGATTCCCAAAGGCTCTAAAAAAACCCAAAACAAATACGGACCATATGAGTACATCCCCAGAGCTTGCCAGAATGTGAAAATTTAAATGTGAAAATTAAGACAAGCAAGTACTCCAGGCTATTTATTATTTCTTCCTTATAGGAAAGTAAAAAAAAACCACAAACAAAATAAAACCACAAAGCATTTTCTCTCTCATATAACTGTGTATTTTGTAGAGTACATTCCCTGCCTCTGCACCATCTAATGAAAGCTGAGGAACACTGTGGGCAGTTTTCCAGCTGCTGGTCCCCAGCAGGTCTGGACATTGCTGACTGCTGGGCACAGAAACAAAGAAATCAGAAACACATCCTTTGCAAAAAATAAAAGCCATCAAACAATGGCTCATTTGGCCAATGAATATTTGAGTTTCCAGGTGAGAACATTACAGTTCTGACAGACTGACCTTGGGTGCTCACAGGAGAGACTCAGCACAAGAGCCTGCAGGGCTGAGGAGCCCAGGAGTGAGCCTGGCCTCTGGAATGTCACACCTGGCATCCATTTAACATAATACCAGACTGGGATGGGAAGGGGACAGATGCAGAGGGAAGGTGACTGGGAGCAGTGTCCCACCCACACACTGAATGACAGCCACCAGAGTCTCCTGCCAGCTGGATGAAAGAGTTCTGCTCTCTGCAAATCCCCTTCTCTGCCCAGCCTTGTGAGAGCAAATAGCCATCCATGAAGGGAGGACAGGGCACTGAGCAGCAGCTGGTGTAAATGAACATCACAGCCATACAAACTGAAAGAGCAAGTGCTCACATCTGTCAAGAAATTATTTGGTGTGGAGCTGCTAACCTGATGAAGGAAACCTGAAATCCCTGCTCTGCTCTGAAGAAACATAACTCGAAGTCCCAGCCTGCCAGCTGCTGTGGGCATCCTCCCCTGCACAGCTTTCCAGAATTGGCTTTGGGCTTCAAAATGCACAGGCTTATCCTCTGCTGTGCTGTGCCTTGCCACTGGAACAGCTCAGCACAATGTGGAGTAAAATATTCCCCCAAGATGGTTCCCAAGTCTGCCTGTGGGCAATAGACAAAAGCTGGTTTGTTTGGGAGCTGCAGGACTGCTCACCTGCACGACACCAACACAACTGAGCTTGGAAAAACCTCCCAACCCGCCAACTTCTGCTGCCAGTGCCTTGCAGATATACACTGCAGGGAGAAAGGCAGGGATCAATTAATTCAGCAGGACTGGCCAAGGCTGCCTGGATGTGCCTGCAGTGACACAAATCACTGCCCCAGGAGCCCAGGGACAGAGCTGCCTTGGGGGACACGTGCTGGCTAAACCAGCAGGATCTGCATATCCAGCACAGCACACAGAGGAAAGGATGGTGTTATCCCTGCAGAGCTCCAGAGGGAGGGCCGAGCATCTTGGAAATCAAAGCCTGCCATTAATGACACCTTCCAGACTGTTAATGACTGCACAGAAGGAACAAGGACACACCACAAGGGGAGCAGGGGACAGCCACAGCCAGTCTAACACAACCACCAGCATAAATTAAACCTCTCATTTCACCATCCTGAAGCATTTGGGAGCAAGTTCATCCTCTGTAGATTTAAGAGCAGCAGGTAGGAAAGGCACCCTTGTTAGGATTCATTCACTGAAGCCAGGACCAGAGGTCCCAGAAACAAAACACAAAACAAAAAACCTTGGAACTAAGGACACATTGTGACACAAAGAGGAGCAGGGATGCATCAGGCTCAGCAGAGAAGGGAAAGCACTTTTAACATGCAAATAAAGCCCCTAAATGTGCTTCAAACAAACATAACCAAAATAATGCTTCACTTCACTTAAATTGCTCCATGAGGGTCTAGGGTTTGTTTCTTCTTTTAGACCAACTCATGGCCTCCCCTTAGCTCCCTTCATGGGCAATGGGCCTGTGCTTGTGACAGCCTGGTCAGACAGAGAAAGCCAGATAAGCTTTCCCAGGAATTGTGCTGGAGAGTTTGAGAAGACTGAGACAAAGAATTAAAACAACCTTGCAGCTGGTGTTTTCAACAGTTGTTTCTCATAAGGTGTTTACCAAAGGGTGGTTCCTAATTACCCAATGGGTAAGAGGTGTTATTCAGAACCAATCAGGTTCTGGGTGAACAGTGTTGGTTATAAATATAGGGAGATTGTAATAAAGTAAGCTTTTTATGCCTTCTCAAACTCTGCAGATCAGTTCCTGGGGAAGTTTATCTGGCTTTCTCCCTCTGACCAGGCTGTTGCAACCACACTGGGATCCCTAAGCTGAATCCATGCCTTTGAGAGAACTTCCAGCTACTCTGTGTCCTGCTCAAAGAGCAAGGCTCTGGGCTTTTTGCTTGCCACGGTACAGAAAGAGTCACAAAGAAGAAAAAAACTGCTCAGACTCATCCCAGCCAGGGGGATGTGGCTGCTGGATGCAGGAAGCCTTGGGAAGGACCATCCCACTGGTGCTGCCCTTCAGGTCATGCACAGGGCCCCACCAACAGCTGAAAACCACTAATTCCCATGCAAATGTACCTGCCTGCACCCCTCCCCAGGTTAAAATCGATGCTGAGCTGCCCAGGCAGAGCGTTTTGCTGCTTTGGCAAACTGAGAAAGTGGCTCCACGTGTTGCTTTTACCTGGAAAGGGTTTTGCTCTTAAAGCAGGGGTCAGCAGCTCACCAGAACGACTTCCCTGGGCTCCAAACAACCTTGCATTTTCTGTGCTGCCAGACCACTGCAGGGCATGGATTGGTATTTCTTCATAAGAAAATGAAACCACCTAAGATATCACAGAGCCCTCA